GCTGTCAACGTGAAGACTGTGGCTTGTGGCAACCGGAGGGGAAATACTGTAGTGCGCGGTGGTCTTCTCACGGTGGGGGTAGTTTCGAGGTGGGCTAAAGGCCCCGCTGCTTGCCCGCTCTTAAGTTACGCGTTTTCCTTGTGCCCGCGCACAGACACGTGTTGGAGCTTGCTTGTTCAGAAACTGCTCGGGAGCAGTGGAGCAGTACTGGAATTAGAGTGGGCGGCTGTTTATAGTCAAATAGAGCGTTATTGAAACGCAGCGAGTTGTATTTTTACTGTTTCAGGAATAGCTTTTTGTGTTGTTTATCAGTTTCACTTCACTTGCACCACAAGGTGCGATTAAAAGGCAGCAGGCCTGTCATTTTGATGTGTTGTGTGTGTTTGTACGGTTTTTGCAGATGTCGGAAGACCTTGCTAAGCAGTTAGCTAGCTACAAAGCTCAGCTTCAGCAAGTTGAGGCTGCCTTGTCTGGGAATGCAGAAAATGAAGACTTACTAAAACTGAAGAAAGACTTACAGGTGAGAGCTTAAGGGTATGAGTAGCTGAAACTTTAGGGTCTTAAACAAATGTTTAATTTTTCCTAAATATTTACATTGCAAAGAAAATACGTCCTTGGCAGGTTTATTACTCTTTTTTTCACACAATTTGATACAATTATGTTAGGGATGGTTTGAAAAAAAAAAAAAAACGAGTGTGGCCTATTTTAAACCTGTCTTGTAGATTAGTAAAAAAAGTGTACTAATTTATATAGCGTAAACTCTTCTGCTAAAAACTTCATAGTGATGAAAGATATGCCAGTGCTGTCTTTACTATAGCTTTTTTCTTTCTTTTTTTTAAAGCATTTTTTAGAAAGTCATTGTGTTTTGTTGCTTATATTATGCCAAAGCCTGAGGGTTGGGCTTAACAGTGTGCTCCTCTTCATATTTTCCTGTTGTCAGACCATATGATACAGAATCTGTTTATTCATTGCGCGCATTTGCAGCGACAGAAGCTTCAGCATGTAGTGCAGTATCCCTTGTTCAGCTGAACCTTGGCTGTGTTAAGGGTTTTGTGTAAGAAAGGAAGAGTTTTGTGCTCTTCATTTGCCACCTGCAGTTTTTAAACCCTTGACAGCATACCGCGTTCTTAGGAGCTAAAGACCATTTCCGGCCCTTAGGGTGGTGTTCGGTGGCGGGAAGACCACCAGCCTCATTTTAAGCTGATAAGCGGTCTTAGAGTCTTGTGCATCTAAAGACACGTTGGCATTAACCCCCCCAGCGGTACTGTTAAACCTTGTTGTGATATTCCAAGGTGCTGCTTCATTGCTATTGTGGATCGCTTCAGCCCTCAGACCTAAAAACAGGTGAAAGTACCCAGGCCGGGATTCGGTAACGGCTGTTCTGTGTGGGAACAGCAGCAACACAGGTGCTGCCTCAGCCAGGGCACGAGCAGCGCCTCCACTCAGCGATCTGTAGAATTCCTTTTAAATCACAACGGCTTTGTGCCCACGGGGCACTTTGTAGATCATCGGGACGTCCTTCGTTGTACACTGTTAAAAGCATGTGTATATTCTTATATTTTTAAAATGCACAGCAAAACCCGTATGGGATGATACTTCCGATACCAACACGACCTTGGCTTTGATATGCAGAGATCATTGATGTGAAAGGACAACTTGCAAACTTTTTTATAAAAGCTTTCTGCACAGAATGGGGAAGATCTTTACACTCTCGTCCCCAAAAGGTTTGCTATCCACATGTTCCACCTTGAAAATGACGTAATGTTTTGCAGATGTAACGTCTGCCAGCCGGACAAGTGCGAAAATGGGTTTGGTGCTTCAGCGGCACCACTAAACAGCTTTTGGGCTGTTCAGAGAGGTGGTTCCTGTGCAATTGTAACGGTGTTTTTCTGTTGTAAATAGTGATGCATTAGTGCGTTTCATGCACTTAGCTTATTCCTGAGTAACAAGATTAAAGTAAATATCAGAAGAAATTTGTATAAATACTTAGCTTGTCACTTGTCATGTCACTGAAGTGCTTCTAGGACAGTGTCCATCACCCAGGAACCAAACTTACCTTTTGTGTCGAGGAGAATTGGTGGCAGCTGTCACCTTCTGTAACTGGAGATGGCATCTGTGGGCATTGTGATCTCGAGTGTAGAGCTCTGCCTGGCTTTCTAAAGACCAGTTGCTCAGGACAAATCTTGGCAAACTCTAACTAGCACTCTGCGGGTCACACCTTTGTGACATGGGGATGTGGCAGCAAGCCATGTTGTTCAGCCCGTTTGGCTGTACCGAGCTGCTGTGGTAGTTAACTTGTGCTCAGAAATTTTCTTTGAATGAGCTATTCTGGTAAAGACTTAGAACTGTCTCATGGGTTGCAATAAAATTAATGTTTCCATCTTGTGTGCTTAGCACTGATACACGGACATCAGATGAAGATTTTCACCAAAAGTTTGCCGTTTATAGCCTGGTGTGTAAGTGACTTTATCAAATTGAAAGAACCCTTGGTAGACTTGTCTGAAACTCTTGACATCTGAGTTCTACAACAAGCCATCTATGAATGTGGCACAAATAACTCAACAGTTTCATGTTGCTTGTAGCCCGCGTAGCTGAAACACTCCCTCTCAGGTAGTTTGTGCCTGATGTATTTGACCTGCTGAGATAAGATGCCTACTGCGGACCACGGTGCCTCCTGGACTTGCAGGATACAGCTGTCCGTGTGTTGAGGAATAGTTTGGGATTTTGTGGCTGGGAGGGAAAACTAGGCCAATGCTTTATGTTCTGCGTGGCACCCTCAAATTGGGTAACTTGGTAATCAGGATCTGTTCCGGTTTTAGTGTTAGGGAAAATGGAGACCAAAGTGGAAGTAGCTGTAAACACATTTCCGTGCTTACTGTTGCGCTTAGGAACTAGCAGCTCCTCTAAAACAGAGAGCAGAACTTTTGTTAGGAAGGTGTTGGAAATTCAGACGTTAACAGCTGCCACAGAATCAAACTGTTAGGCCGTTCATGCCAGTTGTGTAGTTTGTCAGATAAAAACACCTGTGAGTTTATACTGCAGTCACTTCTCATTTGGGAACTGCTTATGATCCTTTAGGTTCTTTTACTGCTTTTTCCAAAGCTACTCTTCGTATGCCTGTAGCTGAACTAGGATGTGAAACTGGGGGGGAAGTTCAGGCTCCACTGAGCCTCAGTTGAACATTGTCACTCTCCTAACTAACAGTAAATGTTTAAATTAGGGGAGGGTTACAGATAAACAATGGTTCATGCTGAGATACTCAAAAAACTGAAGAATTTTTCTTCTTTAAGGACTGCAGAGTTGCTTTGCCTTATACAGAAAGTTTAAATGGCCTTTTAGGTGCTGGCTCCTCTGACTTAACACTGGTGGAAACCAGCGGGTCTTGATTGTGCAGAATAAGAATATAATATTGCCAGGAAGTTGGGGAGGGGCTTTCGCATGCTCCTGCCTGGGAATGAATAATGTTTAAAGGAACTGGAAAAATTTCTTACTTTATTTGTCTTGTTGGATTAGCAAGGGAAGGCCTGACTTGTAATTTTAAGGCCAGGGAATTTGGAGAAAAACAAACACTTGTATCGAAGAGACTTAAGGAAACAAATTTCTTCAGTATGCACCTGAACGGTTTCTGTAAGCGAGAGGGCTTTACAGAGTGGCAGTGGTGGAAGGTCCTCCTGCTCCCTGGCTCTGGGTGCTTCAGTTCAGCCAGTCCACATATGTTTCAGCAAACTGAAAAACGTTTCATCACTGAGATATGCTGCAATTATAGTCACAGTTGTGTGGTTTAGAAATTACTAAGTATAATATAGGGAGACAGTCCCAAAGGGGAAGGGATGGAAGAAACTGCCAGCCACAGAGAGCACAGAAGCTTTATGTCCTTTCAGGTTTTGTGTTCAGAGCACTGTCCTGCGGAGTACTTGCTCTGCCACATACTGTCAATAACCACCTTCACGTGCAGCCGTGTGTGCTGAGTCACAATGTTGATTTTTTTTTTAATTGAGATTGTCTAGCTGCGTCTTTGTGCCTACGCATGAACAATTAATCTAGAAAGACCTGCTATAAAAATAACAGGCTGCTCTTTGAAATTCTGAGGAGGGCACGGGCAGCTTCACTGCAGTGCCCTGAGGGCCATACGTCTTTCTGTCTGTGTTGGCAATGAGTTCGTTTAGTTAAAGGGTTAAAAAACCAAACCGAGCTTAGGCCGCTTTGCATCAGCTGGGAGTTTAATACAGTAACTTCAAAAAAAACCAAACCAGTGTGCATGGTAACAGAGCTTAAAAAATTATTCTTTTTGGGGTTTTTGTCTTTTATAGGAAGTCATAGAATTAACCAAAGATCTCCTTTCAACACAACCTTCGGAAACTCTTGCAAGTTCTGACAGTTCTGCTTCTGCTCTGCCCAGTCACTCCTGGAAGGTTGGAGATAGGTGTATGGCGATATGGAGTGAGGATGGACAGTAAGTGTAGAAAACTTCTCTAACAGTTACATGAAATAGTTCAATGGTAAGAGACTTTTATTCAGTTTGAACTGCCCCTAGGGCGACTAAAAGCAACAAGAAATTAGGAAATAAATAAGATATTAGCTATTATTGTACTCTATTAAAGGTCAGTATTTTAGATAAAAAAACCAAAGCGATGTGGGGTCATTTTCTAGAAATGCCGTGTTTGTCGCTAACCTCGCAGAAGTGGGGTGGCTTTGGTAAATGGCCATTTGCTAGTGCAGTAAATGGCAGCCTGTCAGAGACTGACCTGTCAGAGCTGCCTTGCGGTAAAGGTGTCAGGATGTACAATTCCTAATTTGTCATTGCACTCATCTATATGTTATTGGTTGCTATCAAGAAAAATGCTTGCTGTATCTCAGTTTGTGCCTCCAATTGGAAATCAGTTTTTAACTGGAAATGCTGGTTTACTGTGTAACGTAACTATAGAATTAATCAGCTTTTTGGATTTACTCTCCATTACATTGGCCTGTGAAGTTCTGGGAACCCATACAGTCCATTCTGCCTTCATAATCTTTGAAATAAACATTCTAAAATTACTTTCCATACTGCAAAAATGTATAACTGCTGCAGTTCTTTTAAAGTCCTGTTTATGCAGGTCTCATATCCCAGTCATTACCACTTGGAGAGAAGCTCTGTTGTTCAACGGATGTGGTTCTGTTAACACTGTAGTAACCATGTCCAGATTTTGGTGTAGCGATTGATGTCTTGGGCAGAAAACAAACCTCAAAGTGAACTGTTTTTCTGTCACAGATTATTAATGAGTAAATTGATTTTGGCTGAGAACTTAAAAATGGAATCATGCTGTCTTGGGTCACCATTGAGTCATTCTTCTTGCTCTGATCGCTGGGTTAGAGCTTGGGGAAGAATGTGCCAGAGTGTCCACTGACATGGATCTGTTGGACTTAAATGTATTGCTTTTATTGTTAACCCCCTGCTTTTGTCGCAACATTTAAGTGGCCAGTGTTTCACGAAGAGCTGGCCAGAGGGTAATACTTTTTACCTCATGCAGTTTGGGTTTCTATGTATTTTCATCTAGCTTAACTCAAGATGTTGTTGGTCCACTAAAATTGCACAAGAAATTTAGTAAATGTTAACTGGAATATTGTCTGTGAAACCTCTCGTTCCTCTGTTTGCTTTAGATTCATCCTTTTGCTCTGAATTGAAACTCGATTATTTTAAATATTTTTGAAACTGTCATCTATCTCTTTTTCCTCTTTCCCATTATGGGGTCAGTTTGGCCAGAATGTTTCATACACATAAATATGGACTGATTTCCGCTAAAATTTCAAAATTGTTATTTTAAATCAATAACAAAACTTTTAAATTTTGTGTCGAAGAGGCAATATTTTGAAAGCTTCAGCTTTTAATTCTTTTTCATATAGAGAAAACCGGAACCAAAGCTTTGCTTTTGTGAGCTGACATTTTCCAAAACTGCTCGGTGAATTCCCCGAGAGCTCTGTTCTGTGAATGCAGGGTTTTGTTGGGTCTTTTTTTTCCCCAATCACATGACCTGCCAGAACTAGAACCAGATCAGGATATCTGATTAGATTAGCCCCAGCATTAATCATTAGTCTTGATAACTGTGAGGCCATGGCTTCTTGATGCTAAAGGTCAAGTACAGCAGACTCCAGTCTTTGTGCTTGTGTCCCTTTGACCTTAAGAAAATGATCTCTTGCTTTGATTAGTGCATTGTCCCCAGAATTGAAGGCCAATATTTGCAAATTTTTTACTTAATGACTGACAGTGTAGGTGTTGAAGGGCTGAGTATTAAAGCTTTACTCACATGCTTACAGCCATGATATCTTTACAGGTGTTATGAAGCTGAGATTGAAGAAATAGATGAGGAGAATGGAACAGCTGCGGTCACGTTTGCGGGATATGGCAACGCTGAAGTGACGCCTCTGTTCAACCTCAAGCCTGTGGAAGAGGGAAGAAAAGCAAAGGAGGACAGTGGCAACAAACCCATGTCCAAGTAAGTAACACGCAGGCTGAAGGCTGCCTTTTTCTTTTTTCTTTTCCCACAGCTATAAAAAGTGGTTGATGAAGTAGAATCTCCCTTTTTCTGAAATGTTACATCTCTTTAATATCTTCCCGTGTTTGCTGAAAAAAGGATCTTAAATCAATTTGGCATATGACGTTTGGTAGATCACTGTGGCTGCATCGTGTGTGTTCTGTGTCCTGGCGAGATAACATGATACACTTTTTACTCAGATGATGCTGTCTCAAGATACCGAGTATGTAAGGGGTAGATTAAAAAAAGTTAGTACTTTTCACCAAGAGCAGAGGGCCGCCGGGTTCCAGCCCGGACCTCGCGCGGGCAGCTCTCAGAGCCGAGCTGGCTCACCGCACGTGTGCTCACCAGCACGCAGGACTTCTGCGTCCGCCCTGTCCCTGTGTCGGGAGACCTGTGCTGACCCCATCGCTGGGGACGTGCACTTTATTCAGTGTCCTGCTGTGTCTAACATAGGGAGGTATTTTTAAGGGCTATAAATGGGGTCTTTTTGGGAGGGCAGGGGGAAAGGTGGTACAATTTCGGAGTTTATTATAGACAATGATCCCTTCCCCAAGAGATCATTCTGGGGGGTGCTGTGTTGTGGTGTGGATCAACTTGAATTTCCTCAGCTTTACTGAAGTAACTTGTCTTTGTTCTTTTCCTTCCATCCCTGGCCAGTACTTGGTAGCATGAGAGTCCTGCAGACCTCTAGAAACGTTTGGGCTTTTCACTTGAGTGGGCTATTTTAGTTTTCCAAACCCAAGATGTTTCTGAAGGGTGGAAGTGCTGACAGGTACACTTCCTGTTTCAGAAATGGTTGACAGGTCACTGCGTTACGGGGTGGTTGTGGTGGGGTTGTTCTTATGCCCAAATATATAAATAAGCAATATAATGCTGATGCATGGGAAGGCTTTTTTTTTTTTTTTCCTAGAAATGGAGAATATTTACTGTCATTTACTTATGGAAAACTCTTGTGCATGTCTGTCTGACAGGCGTTTTAGTTTCTTACAGGAAAAGGCACAAACATAAAATGTCTTTTTTCTTTCTCTCCAGAAAAGAGATGATAGCCCAGCAACGAGAGTATAAAAAGAAGAAAGCTTTGAAAAAAGCTCAGAGAATTAAAGAACTTGAACAGGAACGAGAGGACCAGAAAGTCAAGTGGCAACAGTTTAACAACAGAGCCTACTCTAAAAACAAGAAAGGCCAGGTCGGTCGGCTTTTGTCAGTACGGGAGCAACAACGGGGCACGGCCTTCTGGGCAGTACCGTGGGAGCGGGGAGGAAGGGGTTTTCAAAGGGGGTTCACCTTTGGGATTCTGAAGTGGGCGGTTTGGTGGTTTGTACGCTGGAAAGGCCTGGTTTTGTCCTGGATGGTTTTGGAGCAGTGCTCTTCTGCAGAGGCTGAGCTTGCCCTTGGCTTGGAGAGTTGGGCTCCCTCTCCGTTGCCAGGGGGTGTTTTGGAGCTGGGAACCTGGGGGCCTGGCTACGCCTCAAAGCCTGACTCCTGGCTGCGTTTATGACCTGGCAGACACAGCGCTAAGTAATTGCCCTGGAACAGCAAGCGTAGAGCAGCAAAAGGCAGCAAGGACCCTTGAAAGCCTTGTGTCATTTTTATCACGGCTTCACCCAGAGCTGCCAGACGGGGTGGTAAAACATCAGTCTTCCGTACGGACAGTTACTAGGGATCAGCTTGAGGGGTGAATTTTAGTCGTTATTGGCCTGACCCAAGGTCCCGAGTCCCACGGTCACATCCAGTACTTAGGTGCCAGGAAATCCCCAGCTCTGTTGTCTCACTTGCTGGTGACATGTCACGGAGGAGGTAGCCCTTAGAACGCATGCCTGTCTAGAGGTAAGAAGTTGAGGATTTCGAAACTCTTCAGAGGGTAATGTTTGCTTGTGGTTTTGTGTGTTGGTTTGGTTTTAAGAGCAAGTTAGTAATTATTCAGAAATGGCGTTTTCTGTTCATTTGCAGGTAAAGAGGAGTATTTTTGCTTCCCCTGAGAGTGTAACTGGCAAGGTTGGAGTCGGAACATGTGGAATTGCAGACAAACCTATGACACAGTATCAAGATACCTCTAAATATAATGTCAGGCATTTGATGCCTCAGTAACAGGGGGAAAAAGGTGGAACTTCATCTCTGCAGGGCTTTACACTTACCTTTTTATCATTATATTTTTCTAAAAGTAAATTATTTGTTGGCACATAGCGAGTAGTCCATTTTGTCACCATCACTTTGGCTTCAGCTGATACGAGCCTTAAATCTCCAGCTATTGATTTGACGCCCCTAGTCATTAAACTTTTTGTAGTTGCATTAAAATACATTCTGCAGGTAAAGGCTTTCATGAACTGCTGTTACCTGTTACTCTGAAAGCAGCAGTTATCTGCAGCTTTGGTCTCCAGTATCTTCCATTCATAGTGAAGTGTTTTTTTTCCCTTCAGAAAAGTGGTGGTGTAAAAATGGCACCGTCACAGCCTCCCTCGTTTCTGTTGTCACAGTGCTCTCTCAGCCACAAGCTCGGCACTACAGAGCTGCTGCAGCTTGGGGAGAGAGAGCTGGGCTCCATCCGTAGCTCGTACAGGTCACATGGAATTGCTAAGGAAGTTCTAAATTCCTCCCTTTCCAATCGACTGAGGATCGATGTGTACAGCTGTAAGTGAGGGCAGAACAGGGCCATAGGATCCTTACTGCTAATGATGATTCCTGTGCTAGAAACAATAAATCTGACTTTAATTCCAGTCTGAATTTCCTGTGCTAGGAGTTAAGCAGAGGACATGCTTTTTTTTCCTTTTTAAATACTCACCAGATTTTCATAGGAGGTTATTGAAATGTAACCAGCGAACCATAGGACAAGCTACCTGGACTCCAAAGTAGAGAACTGTACTTAAAAATACCCACCCCCCCCTCCCCCCAGAGCAGACTGTGGTAGAACAGAACTGGTTGTGCTTTGGAAAGGAGCCATCGCCTCCCCTCTCGCAGGTTTAACAGCAGGGGCCCAGGCCTGGAGTACGCCCCAGCACCTTGTGTCGGGGCCGCCCCATCCAGGGGAGCAGAACTGGGTACGATGCCTCGAGCCCCCGTAGTTCGTCAGCTGTGAGTGAGCGAAGGTTCGGCGGGAGGTCGTGTCCTTCAGTCACCGACTGGCCCTCGCGTTCACTGTCACTTCAGCTGTATTACAGTGCTGCTGAGCCCCGCCAGTTTTATTCGCGAAACCCCGTGTAAAAGCTCTTGCTTTCTTGTATTTTATGTGATTTGCTTTCCTCTGTTACTTGTCCCTCACTTACGGTAGTGGTGCCAGCTCTGAACCCGTAATGTGTTTAAAGAAGTCAATGGGTAGCCCTGTATACAATGTAGATATTATTTTTGTAAAATCTAGGGCTGAGTTAATGGACAAGAGCACAGCAGCTTTCCCCCATTTAAACCCCAATTAAAGGGTGGTTCTTGTCCATTAACCCTGACCATTATTTCCCTGTATATTATGTTAATGTAGCTCATTTTGTAATTTGTTAACTAGATCAGGTCACGTCAGCAATTGTTGATGCACTGATTGGTGGAAATGTCCATCAGTTACCTGAGTCACAACTCAAGCTAAACTCTACAACTGGTAGTTTAGAATCCATACATAGAAAAAGGTTCTCCCTATAATGGGAGAAGGTGATTTTTATGAATACAAAGTGTGTTAATTTCAGTTTTGTATGTTTAACTTTTATTAAATAAAGTGTTTAAAATCTGCTGGATATATCTGACAAAGTGCCAAGTATATACATGGGGGGTGTGTGGGAGGGGAAGCGGCAAGTGTGGAATCCGCTGGACACAGTGTGCTACACAACAGTGAACCCAGTCCCTGCAAGGTGAAGCAGATTTTGCTTAATTCCTCCTCTTCACCTGTAGCAGGTGGGTAAAATTTTCTTTGGCATAGAAAAGCTCTTAATTTAAGAGTAAAATAATCTTAGCCCCCTGCTAAGGGAATTTGTACCACAGCCTGCCCCCTACAGGGACAAGTCTCAGCGGTGACATTAAATAGGTGATAGTCCTGCAATGCTGCCAGCCAAGGGCTGAGGAAGGTCACCTGTGGTCTCCCAGAGGGCTGTGACAAAGCTGTACTCTATCGCTCCCCCTGCCCAAAAGAGCATCTTGAAATTAGAACTGAAACACGCTGAAGTGGGCAGAACGGGAGGTTTAAGGAAGCCGGCTCTGCCTTTCCTTAACTCCACCTGTTCTTTTAAAGAACAAAAAAAATTCTCTGGAGCAAGAGACTTAATCCATAGCTGACGGGCACGACCTGTGCTCATCTGTTGCTGTAATAAATCCAATAAATGGTCTGTTGCAGGACTGTTTGTTCACTAGTCCCAAAGAGAACTTAAGGCCCAGTGAACGCACCAGGTGTGTGAGCCTCCCTCCTACCGGTCCAGCCCAGGTCACTTTTGCTGAGCCTTTCCAAAAATACCGTTTCCTTTGAGTAACTTGGTGTCACCCTTCATACAGCACGGGCTGCCCAACGCACCCAGCTGTAGCTCAGCTGTGGGCGCTGCCCAGACACGCTGGAAGGAAGCTTGGAGACGCTTTTCCTCAGCGCCTTAACCTGGGACAGGCAGTGACGCTGCTGCCCCGGGAACTGGGGGGAGCTGATCCACAGCAGAGAGAAGGTTTTGAAGGTAACTTGCATAAATAAAACCCCACCGACGCTGCTGTCTTGGCCACACGGCCCTTCCTGGTGGCACTTGATTATTTTTGATGATGCTGTTTCTATGTGTAGTTGGGCTTTGGAACACGGCCTTAGAAAAGTGGCCTTGAGAACTTCACATCGAGAAAAATAAATCATGAGTTAAGCAGTGCTGGTAACTGCAGGAACAAAGTGTTCCTTATTTTACAAACACTGAAACATGTGGCTGAAAGTGTTTGGCCAGTGTTGGGTTTTTTCAAAGTGTTCCTTATTTTACAAACACTGAAACGTGGCTGAAAGTGTTTGGCTAGTGTTGTTTTTTTTCTTAATGTATAACTTGTTTCCCAGTTTTATTAGCTGCTCTAAACATTCTAAACATGATAAATAATTTAAATTAATAAAAAACCCAAACAATAAAAATTTCTACCCAGTTTTTCAGAACTCGCACTCTGCATTGACTTCTGGGCCTCTCAGCAAGCAGAGTAAGTACCTACCCCAAAATCCTGCTAGACTGCAGACAGTTCTTTTAGGAATACTGAGATGACAGAGTTAGTGAAGTGTAAGAGTGCGAACCCACGAAGCTGGAGGCGTTATGGAGAAGAGAACACAGATTTGTTCCTTTCGGATAAGGATCCTGTGCAAAATGACGGGTATGGGCGACACATTTCCTCTTAAAAGTAAGTTACTGCAGGAAATGGCTTATCTAGTACAGCCTCAATGCTGCACAAATGGTAATCTATTGGGGAAATCAAACCAGCACGAATCTGACTCTCAAATCTGGGATGCTCCAGTCAGTTTAAGTATTTAGAACAGTCTAAAGAGCAGCAACTTTAAATGTCCAGTCACAGCAATCCATTTCTCTTTCGCTTTCCCCTATGCCAGAGTGTTGTGTCACTTCTGCAGCTCCTTGGTCTCAAAGGTTTGTAAGTACAAAACAGGACTGTAACGCTCAAGACTGCAGTTCAACGCTGGAGATGTTTAGAAGGCAAAACCAACAGCAACCTTCTGTTCTTCCCACTGCTGCCCCGCTCGCCCACAGCTCCGTGGCGGTATTTTGTGACACAACCACCACCCGCACGCCGCACAGCAGCGACACTGAGCCTGCGACTGCGGAAGATGGCCCTGGGCCAGGCCCAAGAGAAGGATCGCCACCTTGCAGCTGGTGCTGCTCTTCGCGTCGCAAGTTGTCCCATCTGCACCCTAAAGTGCTTCACTTAGACTGCAAAATAAGGAGGGATCAGGCTTGCGCCAGGGCTGCGGTAAACATCCACGCCACCCAGCCAAGCTCGCGACCTGTCCGCATACGACCTGGTTAAGCAGCTTCACTGACAGGTCAAAACCCTGGCCCTGAGGTGAAGGCTCAGCCTCACCAGAGCACTCGCATCACTTCCTCTGGTGAAACAACTCCCTCTCTGAGCCGAACGCGCCTTGCAACGACTCCGTGGTCTGTACAGGGGTGCAAAGCTTCCCCAGGATGGATGCTGGCAGAAAATGTCTCGCTCTCACCTCGACTGAAGCGTGATGTTACTTCCCAAAGAGAAGTTCTTTGCGAGGAATACATGTGCTGCCAAGTTTTAACCCTTACATTTTTAGCAGACCTGCTGACCAGGTATTCCCTAGGGCGGTGAGTGCTGTTTTGTACAGTTGTTCGCCACGCCAGGAGAGGAAAGAGCTTTTGTATTTCTCCATCAAGTCTTCCAGGAGGAGATTCAAAACAATTCATTGTTCTGGGACAAGTATTTTTGAAAAGGGGCGGTTAAATGGAAAGAATTTCCTAGCCTTAGCTAAACTGAGCGCTAGCTAGAGCCCTGGTAGCCCAAGCCAAGTTAGGAACTAGGTCTGTGTACATTCTGACTAGCAACTACGATGTTACACCTACCATAAAATGCTTTAAATTTCTTCGATGGTTCCTCCTGCTTTGCGGCAACATCCCTTCAGACCAAAATTAACCCTCGCTGAAATGCAGCCCTGCCGCAACAGTCATGACCTCGATGAGACCTTACGGAAGGGGTGAGTTTGGCCCAAAGCTGACTGCACATGCACAGAATGGCTTTGTGGCTCACTAGCGTTTCTTTCAGTGGGGATCACGGGGCGGGGGGAAGAACAAATGAACGCTAAATCTGTCTTCTCTCAAACCACCCCTGTAACTGTCACCTCGTGGGGAGAGGCATGCTAGAGCTATCACTTGCTGGAAGGCAACAAGAAGTGCCGGTGTCCTCCAGGCCCATACACACCACAGTCAGACCTGTAGGACAAAACATCCCAGAGGACCTCACTGCAGAAAATCCCAACCCGGGAGCATCCCCTGAGGCACAATTAGCATTATTACTAGTGCTCAGGGCCCATTACTCATCATCCCTCTCTGCCTAATTTTTCTGAATCGCCACGTTTCCAGTACCTGAACGCCCTTCACAGCCTGACGAGCACTGGCCAGGGCCACCCTGCCTGCCCCAGGGAGGTACAGAAGCTGGTTTCCTCCCCTCGACCTGCTGAAGACCAACATCGGTCCTCTGCAGCGCTTTGTCTCCTCCAAGTAAGTGCTGTAGGAAAACGAAGCTCCAGCACACGACCATAGCACAGCAGACTGCAAGTCAAGACGTTGAATGACTTGTTAGAGGCCAAATTAACCAGCTCACCCCACCAGCTTGCTCTGGGCCTCATGGGGCTGATACAAACTAAGGGGCTGATTTTTTCCAGTGTGGTAAAAATAA